GGGGGGGGGGGCGGCACAGTTGGGGACAGGTTTATGAGAAACTAGAGTAAATGTGAATGCCCCTTTAAAGGTAAAGAAGATGTGGTGCCCTGATTGTTTTTCTGTGTTGAAGGCAAACTACTTCTCTAAACTTGCGAAGCCTCCCACCATATGCAAAGTGGTGGGGAAGAAAGTGCTGGACGGACTGGGGCTTCCCGCCCTCCAAGTGGAAATATTCTGCACCATTCAAAACTTCTCCAAGGTACAAGGCAGCCCAAGGGTTCTTCGCTATGTCCTGGCCCCACTGCACGTGTTGTCCACATCGTGGAAAAGGAATGCGCTGAAATTCAGTGTTTGTGAAATACACACCAACACACGATTTGTAAGCAGACATGTACATAAAGCATGAACCACACAATCAACCATGATGGCTTTCTGATGTGTAAGTGTTACGCAGTACAGACATGACATGCTCACTTGAAGATGATCCAAGATGGAGAAAGGAAATGGGGCAAAAATAGGTTTAAACCTGACATTATTAATGTGATGAGCTCCAGAAATCGACAGATAGGCTTATAGATTGATATATTTGCATCTAGATTCACACAGATTTGGAGATATATAGAGCGAGCTACATTAAAAAAAAAGATTCACTTTCATAATTTTAATAATCATTTGAATTGCTACATATTTGTTGCTAGAAACAATTTTTCTTCAGTCTCTGAGCAGAAAATAATGACGACTCAATCTGTTTGTACACTTTGAGCTACTTATTGAAGAGCTAGTGATAAAAATGAACTTCAATGTAAGGTTTTTCTAAGGGGATTTTAACAAGGTAAAATCTCAAATGTTCCCTGAGGTTGGGTTCCATAGTATTTCAAGAACTATAAAAATCCCTCCAGGAAAATTATATCTTCTCATTTTCCCTTTGAAATTAGTGATAAAATATCATGCCCATTAAAAGCTGGATACACTTGATTTCCCATTTTCTGCGAGAGGGAGAGAAAATGCAGAACACAGATGTGTCATTTTCAGAACATATGTTCCGTGGTGATGGCGACTCACTTTGAAGTCCACGATAACACTGTGCCCGAGCTGGCTGAAGCGGAGGAAGCAGAGAGGGCCGATGCCGTCAGGACCGCTGTGCAGTGGGTCAATGAAACCATCACCCAGGAGCTTCGGGGCCTAGTGCCCTCCAGCCAGGCTGAGGTGGACCAGGTGCTCAGGTAAATCTTCCACTTCAAAATGTAAGTGTGCAGTATAAATATACACAGAGTGTCCCCCTAAAAATGTATACACACTTTAATAGCTAACAGCTCAATTTTGAAAATGAAATGTATTTTAATAAACACTGCCTTTATAATTATTCAAAGTGTGTGTATACATTTTGGGGGGACATCCTATATTTGTTTTCTTTCCATTTCACCTGCCAGCAAAACAGGTCTGTCATATCCACAGGACAGTTGATTAGTCAGTTAAGAAGCCTAGGCAAAAGCAGCACAATTTAGCATAAAATTTTGTTTTTTTCCTGAAAACCATTATTAAAATTTTACTGTGTAAGGCTACATAAGGACTTTCAACCTCTTTTCATGCATAGAACTTCCTTAGGATTCAGTAACAAGTTTCTCAGGAATAGAATTAAGAATGGAGATGATGTTCCCTCCCTCTCCCCACCTCCTCATATGCCCTCGTCAAACGTACCATAGGCTTTTCTATAGTCACAATGAATGGGTGATTCTTATTTTGTGTCCTCCAGACACAGCAAGGTCTTCCATGCTCTGCCCATAGGTTGAAGCTGAAATGTGAAAACCACACAACTGTTTACTGGGGCTTGTTGAGTACTGTTCAGTGCCCAACGAAGTAGAGGTTAGCATTACTTTTCCTTTTGTGCAGGTCCAGTGTCACAACCCTCTTGGCCAAACGACGGTCAGCTGGATTCTCTTTCCCCAACCTTCATCGCTTGCCTCATGGTGCATAACATTACATTTCAGTTTGCTTCACGGTTGGATCGTGACCTTTGTAAACACTTTTTTTGAAGTTTTTGTTTTCTGAATGCTATTGCACCTACTCCTTCTTTTGTGTGTATCTTTTCTGCTATTAACACATCCTTAGTTTGTTCCCCCAACATCTCAGACATACCTCTTATTCCATACACTACTTTTTTCCTGGAGCTTTGTCTCCACAAACCTCCCACCTGGCTGGTTCCTCTCTGGGCCCACTACAGAGAAGCCATAAGACATCCCTTCCTTGTTCTCTTATTGCCAGGGTCCCATATCTTCCTCTTTCTTAACCTGCAGGATTACATCCTTTAAAAGTAGGAATGACAAAGGGATGTAAAGTTTTTGAGTTCTTATGTGTATGAAAATGTCAGCACTTTGCTGTCATGGTTGACAGTTTAGCTGAGTATAGAATTCTCCTTTAAAATTAATTTCTCTCAGTATTTTAACGTCACTGCCCCACCAGCATCTGTATTATTAATAACTCTAATTCAAACTGGATTCCCATGTCTTTGTTGGCTTGTTTTTTGTTTTTTGCTACAGAACCTTTTAGCCTCTTTTAATTCTGGGTGACTGAAATTTTATGTAGATGTACCTAAGTGAGATTTCCCCAAAGTTTTTTTAACTATTTATTTTAAGCCCCATCCTCCAAAAAAAGAAGTCCTGCACATATTGCTGTATATTCCATTGTCTATTCTTGACTCATTTTTTTTCTGATGGTCATTTATTGAAAAAGAAAATCCAATAGCCATAAATCATATTACATCTTCAAATTTTACTTTACGAATAGAAACAAAGCTCAAATAATTTTTTAAAACAAGCACCTGCAATCTTTAAACATTTACTTCCAAGCCAAAATTAATTTCAGTTCTTGGACACAGTTTCATAACAGCATCTTCATATTTTGGCCTTGGAAACTGAAGCTGATTGTTCTTACATCACTAAAAGGCAGAATTAATTATTAAAACATATTGGGGTCAGCACTACAACATGATCAAAATTACGAGTGATATTCCGAAGTATGCCACTCTACAGCCATATTTTCTTGCCATTAAGGACATTCTTTGAAAATAAAGTGCAAGAAGATAAGGAGAGAAAAGAATTGGAAAAGAGCCTGGAAGACTCAACAGTGCCCACACTTCCATCTCTGATAGTGCCGCCGCCACCACCTACTCCACCTCCATCAAAAAAGAAAGGACAAAAGCTAGGTCAGTGGCTTATCGTCTTGCAGAACCTTTAGTAACAAACAGGTGAGACAAAAGGCTGAAGCTCGGACGGCCTTGCTGAGTTAGAATCTCTTCGCTATAGGCCTAGGCTGGGCTGCCACCAGGCACCATCGGTCCTCCACACCACTTCCTTGCTTGAAGCTTTTGTGTTGGGCTGTCAGGGTTTTACCCCATCTCACTATCCACTCATTTTTATTTTTAAATATGTTTTCATTGATTTTAGAGAGAGAGGAAGGAGAGGGAGGGAGAGAGAAAAAAACATATGTGAGAGAAACATTGATCGGCTCCTACATATCCCCTACTGGGGATCAAGCTCACAACCTGGACATGTACCACAACTGGGAATCGAATTGTGACCTCTCGGTGTACAGGATGACCCCCAACCAACTGGGCCATACCAGGCAGGGCCATTTATTTGTATTTCTTTGTGAGATAAACTAAGTGCACTGAATGGTGGCAATGCCGGAGACAGGGAAGGTGTGGCATAGGGGACCTTTAACTGCCCCTCAAAATTTCCATTACTTCATCAAGAAGCCACTCCATATTTTAAAGATAACCAACATTTTCTTAGCCCTATGTAACATGTTAATAAAAAATTTATTTGGAAAAGTTTGCTATTTTAAAGCAAATAATCGAAGTTATCATGGCCCTTTGCTCCATGCTTTCCAACAGACTGCTAACCTCAGCTCCTCCAGCATGTCAATTCTGGAGCTGCTGCTAGCATTGTAACAGTTTTTTCTATGTTTATCCAACTACAACATGCTCTTTGAGGGTATGAATCATGCCTTGTTCAATTTAGCACTGCCAGTGCCTAGCATGATGCCTGGTTCAAACTAAATACCCACTAAATGTGGGTTCTACTGAATGAGAAAGCACCAGACCAGAAAGGGACCAATCACAGATTCAGATGCTGAGGCCTAGGATGGGGGGGGGGGCAGACAGGAGAGTTTCCCTTAGACAAAAGAATTATGTTAGGCCAATCTCTTGGGAGGGTGAGGACAGCCACTATCGAATTACATGTAGAGACCACCAATGGTCATTTGGCTGTTGCTTCTGACTGATCCAACTTGGAACACAAGAGAAAGGAAGAAGTTAAAGAGGACAGTAATTTGCTAAACATTTACTACGTGCTAGGCACTTACAGCTTATTCCACTTCCCTCACCTACTTGACTCAGGCCGGGAGCTGAGGGGAAGAGGAGGACAGGAGGGACACTAAGGACTGATGATAGACTCCGTGGTACCCGATCAGACTGGGTGGCTGAGAACATATGGGAGTGAAAGATGAAGAAGGATTCTGGCTGGATGGCGGGATCTGGAAGGCATTTCTAAAAGAAAAAGGCATTGGATGGGGGCTGGATGGGGGCTGGCGAGAAAGATAACTAGTTAGATACGTGCATGAAGAGATGTTCACCATCAGGTTGGGTGTGCCAGAGCTGTGGTGGGAGAGAGGAAAAGCAAAGGGTTTGGGACTCAAAGACTGTCCGAACCGTCTCTTTATTCACTTTCTGATCAATACTGGACAAACCTTTAAACCTCTCTAAGCCCTAGTTTTGTTATATGTGAATGTGGGATAACAATATCTGCCCAAATTGGATGTTCTAAAAATTTCTTAGGGAGGCAAAACCCATGCCTAAGGATTCTTCAAGCATTAGGGAGTGGTGTATGAAAGCAAACAGAACACTTGTTGGGGGTCGAGGTGGAAGATACGTGATTCCCAGTCTCAGTGTTCAACCTTTCTTTATGTTGGGGCTGTATCTGTAAGTAAAGCATCAAAAAGTAGTTTTCTTGGAGTCAAACTTCCTACAAAGGAATCTTATATTTTCCCCTCCAGGTATGAAGCGTTCTCTTACCGAGAAACCCATTGCCGCTCCAGAACCTGTGGAGCCTGTGCTCTGTGGCAGCATGGCCATGGGGGCTGTGTCACTGGCTGTTGCCAAAACCAGTGCCGTGCTGAGCAGTAACCCTTTGTATGTCAAAATCGCATCACTGAAGCACCCTCAGGTCAGTATCCGTTATATTCCATCATGAGGAGCCTGGCTATCTCAGCATGAATGCACCATGTCTCGTTTCCTCTTGCTTTCCCCCCACTTCAGGAGCAGCCAGCAAAGCTAACTATACCTCTGCTAATGGTATCTCTGGTCAGCTGCGGGAAGTCGTCGCCTGGGAAGCTGAATTTAATGAAAGAATTGATCTGTATACCCCATCCTGGATTATCGGCTAAACAAGTACCTTACGTTATCTCAAACTTTTTCTAAAAAATACATACACCAAGACAGAGGGAAATAAATACAAAATGAGAAGAAATATTTTAACAAATGTTTCCATATCAGGGAAATGGGAGGGAAGCAAGACCTCGGACAAAAGGGAACACACTTAGAGCACCTTAGATCTCTGGTTCGTTAAGAGCTGACTCATGCCAGTGCGTCACAGAGAAGCCGTGTGTGTGTGACTTTGTTGGCCTTGGTGCTGCTGGAGGGTTCCTGCTGAGGGAGCTGAGATATCTTCACTTACAGGTCCACGCACTCCAGCAGCAACAAGAGGGAGCTGCCACTTTCCTGGCAGCCTATTCTGTGGTTAGAACTCCAGGGCCTGAGACGGCAGATTTCTGGGCACGTAAGAGAGGGTTAGTGCATATTTATGGAATTTGGAATGAAGGGACCCTAAGTTGCATTTTTACTACTTAGTGGGGTGCTAGTGTCTGTATTGTTCTTTGTGTCCTGAATGAGTCGATACCCTTCTTTAAAACCTCGTGAAGTATTCTGCCAACTAGGCATTAGGGAGAACTCAGTGCTCACGTTATCTAGGGGATCTTTTAAGAGAAAGCAGGAAGCTCCATCCCCTCTGATAATGGAGTGATACAGTGAAAACCATTATTTTTTAAATCTCAAGATGATTTGTGATAAAGAATCCTTTTTTAAAAAGAATAACCATTACCTCCAAATTGACCAATTGTGAAAGGTTAGGATTTATCTCTGGCTCACAACCTGCCAGATCAAGTTAAGATCCTGGCATCCGGATCTCTCCTGAAGTGATCTGCTGTGCTGTGTGGGTAACAGAGCACTGGGCACGCAGTTCTTTCTCTGTCTTCATATGCAGATCCTACTGTCATCAGAATACTTTTCCACTTTTTTAGTTTATGCTAATTCAAACACTATCATGCAGAATCCCTTCGTGACCTGAGACCTGTACTGCAAGAGGGTCTGTCAGGAGACCGTGCAGTAGAATGCAGCCAACTGAAGTGGCCAGTTCTGAACAATGGAGGGGGTCCCGAGGAAGAGGAGCCTCTCATTCATGTTTGGCCAAATGAAAACTGAGGGCTGACGATTAACATTTAATCTTCTGATTGTATAGACCTTGTCAGGGACCCTACAAATATTCTGAGTTAGAAATAGCCACGTGCGGTGTAAATTTTTATATTTAAAACTTCTAGACTGCAGTTGTGGATGATCGTGTTTATTCTACTTACAGGGTGTGGAGATGCTTATGGAAATTCAGAAACAAATTAACAAAACAATTGAAATGGTAGGTAAAGAGAATCTATGGTATCTGGTTACTGACATGTATATAACTTCTAGTGCCCAAGTTATAATTTGTTGGCTGTGGAATTAAATCAGCAGTGTTATTGATATGGAAAATGCATTAATTTGCTTTGGGTTTCCTGTATGAGCCAAGCTTATACGTCCCCTCATTGGCTGTGGATCCAGCTTATGATGGTGCTTAACAATCTCATTTTGATATCCGAGGCAGCTAGCTCTATGCTAAGGCCATCCTCAGGATTCAGAGAGAAAGGAAGGATTTGGCCCCTGTGATGTGAGAGGTAATTTGGAATAGCGGTTAAGGCACAGACTCTTGTGTCTGCTCAGCATCCCTGTGTTGGGCAAACGAGTGCCCTTGGCCAAGAAGCCCTCGAGGGGAAGGTCACAGAGGCAGGATGACAGCTGTATGAGTCACTGGCTGTCCCAGGATCCCACATTTGTTTAGAGTGGGGCTTTTGGAAGCACTAGCCCTTCCCCCTGCAGGACGGAAGCTGAGACACAATAGCAGTTTGACTTGAAGGCACTTTGGCTCCAATACTATCTTCCCAGCACCAGCCCCTCCCCTGTAGTGATGGGGGGACAAGCCATACAGTTGATCAGAATTATGTGAAGCACCAGCCTGGAGTGTCTGTGGCACTTTTCAGGAGGCCACCTTCTTTATGGGTGGCCAGCCTGCAGAGACTCAGGTTTGGACAAGTTAACCCTGACCTTGCACTCTGCTTTGCCCCTGATCAGCTGTGTGACCTTAACTTCAGTTACATAACCTCTCTGCCTCAGGTTCCTCATCTATAAAGTGAGTATAAGTACTCATCACATGGGGAGATTGTGAGGAGTAAATGAGTTGGATACAAGCAACATGCCCAGAGTATTTGCACATACTTGAGTGTGAACCATGCTGATTCTTGACAAACATGACCCAGCTTATAGAGCCAATAAATGCTGGACATAAAAGTGCATCCTTATCAATACAGGAAACTCCCAAATTGTGGGAATGTTTCTTTGGGAAATATTTTTGCTTTTATTCTCAACTGACTTTACCCACACCAGAGTCACCAGACTTAATGACCTTTGGCTGTTTCCAAAAGTTGAATCCACCCTACAGGAGAAAGTGCTTGTACTCTGAGAATATTCATATTCAAAACAATATACTGGGCCTATGAAAGCAAATCCCTCAGTGGTCTTATTCCTTAAGGGCAAGGAGGGGAATTCATTTTTATGAGTAGAAATGCATGAGCATGTACATACATGCCCCAACTGGAGGCAGAAGGCAGGGAAGAAATATTGGGAACACGTGCCTGAACTTGAGAAATAGCTTTGGGTTTATCAAAGCAGGGGGTGGCTGGCGTGACCCATGTGTGTGTGTGATTCACAGTGTGACTGGCCAGGCTCCAGAGCAGGGAGAGGCCAGAGGACCTGAGCGGCGCTTGCTGCCCACAGACATGTTTGAAAATTCCAAGTGATGTGTGTCTATCTTCTGTCCCACAGCCCCCTCCTCCCAAAGCAGAGGCGAAGAAAGGGCATAATGGAGGCAAAAGAGGCCAAGTACGTACATGTTTGTTTACCGCACTTGTGACAATTCGTTCATGTCCCCGCCCCTTTGTCTCGCCCGTAGTCATTTCGCTTCAGGGCCAGGGCTGATGCAAGTGCAGATTCTGCTCCCAGAGCACTAAACCGGGCAGCTCCAGAGCTGGAATGTCACTCTGCCCTTGCCTTTCTCACAACACGCTGCTAGGCCTTCTCTACCGGTTGTCAGTTGTCTGGCCAACTGAAATCTCTGAGAGCATCTATGGGTAATGGGATTACATTTGAAAGCCTATAGGTAAAGTGTTGGGGAAGTTGGATCTCTCTGCTAACTAGATGAAGGGCATATAGGATGGTTTAGATTTTAATTTTACTACTACCAAAGAGAGAAAGGCACAGAAAGACAGTCACTCCTTACATCTGGTCCCCAAAGGCACTGAGGTGCCATTTCCGGTGACACATTACCAGATCTGATTTTGCCAGGAGAGGCACACAGTCCTTGTGAAAACTGAAAGGGCGTTGGGAGACAAGCTGAACTTGATCAGTCGGTCCACTTTGGTGACTGTGGGTGCTCTGAACACAAAAATTTTCCCCTACTATTCCTTTGTCGAATAGAAGTTTCCTCTTGCTGATGTTAAAAATGTTGTATGGTTCTTATAATTAATTAGTGCTATGGCCAGTAAAAAGGGGATATTTATACCTAGGTTCATGTTTGCTCTTGAGTTTGGTACACACACCCTTAAGCCCTCAAAATTATTGGTACTGCTTTGACTTACATTATAATTGCATAGTGGCAATTTATCACAAGGGCACATCAAGGCTGACCTTGCAAGAGAAGCATGTGACTGCCTTTCTCTGCGGTTCTTTGACTCCTCAAATCTTCTTCCACTGAAATCCACCCTCAGGGCTGCATCCTCTTAGCTGAAGCCTCCAGTCCTGAAGGGGGGCTGCAGTTGTAAGTTTTAACAGTTTCTTCTACTAAAGGGCAGAGGGACACAGGAGAGAGCAGGTTGGAGGAAGAGGGCAGAGTTAGGGACAGGCAGGACAGACATTTACAGGGACAGCCCAGAGACCCACCAGCCTGGTGGTGGTGACTCAGGTGAGCCTATGTATAAGGGCAGAGCCAATGTAGAGAACATGGGCACACTGAAGACAGAAAAGTGTGTTTTCCATGCCACACTCGAAAACCTTGGCAAGTAAAATAAAGTAAGAGAATTATTCCCAGATACTGCAGGGCAACTGTATGCTCAGAGGTCGCACAGATGAGTGGGACCTAGACATAGGATTAACCAGGCATCAGAGGAGCGCCTCTTTGGAGAGTCGTGTCTGGTTATACAATGTGCCTAACACAGGAAACTCCAAGAACAGTAATGTGCTGTGTTTACACGCATCATTTCCCTTTGGTCTTACAGCAGCTGATCACTGGCAAGATGTCCCATCTCGGCTGTTTAACTATTACTTATGACACCATAGAGCAGCCCCTGCTCCTGATACAAGGAATCTGTGCGAACCTGGGCCTAGAACTGGGAACAAATCTGCATCTGGCCATCAACTGTGCTGCACATGAACTGATGGACTATGTGAGTGTCTTCTCCAGAACATTTACTTTTTGTTGAAGTCCCATTATTTTAAATTAGAACTCAAAAGAAGAGCTTATCTGTATATTTTCCAAACAGATACTATTTTTTGTTGTTAATTTGGGGCGGGGGGGGAGTCCAAATATAAATGGAGTTGAGAAAGCGAAGTTAGCTAATGACAAGAGGATAATATAACCATATACATAATTTTTAAAATTAACAGAAAAAATCATAAGTATTTATAGAAATTCTGTAATACAAGCGACTAGAATGGGTTGCTTACATTGCAATCACGAGTGCCATTGAAGCATAATTTCACAGACTGGTATGTTTTGCTGAGTATAATTACTTGGTTGGTAAATGCTGAATTTGTCAGGCGTAAAAAGTGAATCCGTTTTAACTGTGACTTGACAAACCCTTCTAGAGTTTGTACTGTGGCTCACTTTTTAAATATAAAAATGCCTACAAGTTATTGAAGTTTATGGAGAATATATCCAGTTAAGCCCATCACAGTGTTATCCATAGCCTGGGTTAGGACAGATCTTTAGCAGTGAAACTTCACCTAGGAAGCTATCTTAAAAAGAAAGAATAGAAAACAAGTTTTATTTAAGACTTTTGTAGCCCTCGCTTCCTCAGGATATTGCATCAGCAATTAACCTTTAAAAGTGGGAAATTGTTACATTAGGAAAGCTACTACAAGTTGTCTGTTTTATACACGTACTCCCCATTTTCAGATACATAAATGCTGAGTCTAGATTTTATAAAGTGCCCAGTACACTGATGTGCATTTATGGTGACTGGGTAATTAATGTCAAAGTCAGGGGATATGACCGAGCAGAATTTCACTTTGGTTTCCCATTCTAACTTCTAACTTCAAAGGAAAATGTGAACAGTATACAGGAACCCTAAGTTTCAGCTGGGTTCTAAAAGTTCTTACTTTTCTAAAAACACTAAGCACATAAAGGAGTGTTTAATGTAGTTTCCTATTCCTCACATGATGATTGGTTCCTAGGCATAGCATTAAGGAAAATAATTGCATGTTTTCATCAGCAACGTGTACCAAGAACTATGACTATACCGACTCCTAGTGTTAACTTGAATGGGTATTTATTGCTTATATTCAGTAAAATACATTAGCTTGGTATCAGATAATTATTACAACAATACTAGTTCAAAACCATTAGCATTTCCTTACTGACAAGATAGGATTTTAGAGCCTTAAAGTATAGAAACTAAAAGTTCTTGATGCTGTTTAATGTGAAAAAGGTATGAAATCCTTCCAATTATGGGTTTCTTAAGAGCCTAATTCCAGTGGAATCTATTCATTCGGCAACAGCAGCAGGAAGTCATTAGCAAACCAGTCATTCTGTTCCCTTCCAGCTCTCCCAGGTGCCTCAGTGCCCCCAGTGCCACGCCTGAACAGACTTGGAAGGAAAGGTGCTGTGTTTTGCCGAGACGACACTAGATCCCGTAGCCCTGCTTATTTCTATAGCTAGTGACCTGGGGGCTTGCCAGCCTTCAGGTGAATGGGGTTGCACCAGAATTCCACTTTCTAGACAGTACTGTCACTACTAGAACCTGCATGCCCCCTGAGAAAGCAGCGCCTTCACATTATCACTTTACTTTCCATACTGGCTGTTAGTATCTCAAAAGCTCAGATCTGCTTTCAAATTTCAGAGCATTCCCAGTAGAATAAGCCGTTTGTTCATTGTAAGTTGAAAGATGGTGGGTTCTATCGAGTGGGCAGGTCTGCATGGCTACGGTTGGTTTTATGAACTTACGTTATTGCCCATCTCCCTATGCAGCCAGGTATCTGGCTCCGCATAATAAACCTAAGGCAGAAATTATCCCCAGCCCCCCGCCCCCCCACACACACTTTTCTCAGTTCTTTTGTACACAAAGCTTCATCCGAAGCCAGTGGGAAGAGCTCCATGGGCGTCAGAGGGGTTGGTGACTTGATTTCCCAACCCAACATATGTAACAGATGTTAAAAGTAAAATGCGTACATTTCTTATGTGAATAGGGCCTGAAAAGAATCTGTTTATAATCTTTTATGTGAAATGAATGGAAATGTATTTGAGCCCCATTTTTAATGTTTGAGGAAGCTGGCGTTTACCCTCTAATCTCTTCCTTCTGTTTACCAGAGTAAAGGGAAGTATGAAGTGGTGATGGGAACGTACAAAAATGCGGCTGAGATGGTTGACCTGTATGTGGATCTGATCAACAAGTTCCCTGCAATTATTGCCTTAATTGATCCTTTCAGGAAAGAGGTAACAGGATTCACCTTGAATTTTACAATAAAGCACAGACTAAAAAATCTCACTCTGTCATCCGAAACGTGTTGGAATTTGGGCTGGGCTGAGTTGCTTTCTTTCGGCATTTGTGAGAAAGGCACTTGCTAAGGAAGTGAATAGCAGAGACGCAGTTGCCTAGGAGTGAGCCCGTCTGCAGAATGGAACAGGCCTTCCCAAGCTTTCGGGAGTATCTGTATGTGTACTGGCAACTTAGCAGATGGAAGCCAAGCCCGCTGTGCTAGCTGGTGCTTCAACAGGTTAATCATGTCTCATTGTCAGGTGCTCAGGGAAACAGGCCTTCAACTAGGCCAAATGTTTTTTAACCTAAATCCAGTTACTATGTATACAGAGAAGTAACAAAGCCGTATTTTTAAAAGGTTTGCAATACTGAGTTTTTTAAAACCTGTTAGGGCTAATGCATCTAATGAGGGTTGTTTACATGCCACAGAAGGACCCCTCTCTTCCTAACCCATTTCAATAGCAAAACTGAAATTCTTGATTTTATGAATTTGAGAGCCATTAGACAGACTGAACAGATACCCTCTGAGATAACTCAAGGTTTTAAACTGGGGGAACAAGAGGAGTCTGGATGTGGTTGGGAGCCCCAGGGTCTCTCAGTCCCACCTTCCCTTTCACAGCCTCAGCTCCGTCCCAGCACTCGCGGGAGACATAGACTGAGCTCAGTGCTTTATCGCCAGACCTGTCTTCTGTGCTCAACCTGAGGCTCTAACTGCAGCTCCTTTTAGTGTGATGAGATGCACCTATATGATCTGTTCTAAGGAGACAGGCTGAAATCTGGTACAATGGCGGGGAAGACTTTGAATGTTATTTTTTTAATAGTAAACATTTTCTTTCATATAGTGGTGTCACTAGTAAAAAACAGGGGTGTTGAGAATGAGGGCCTAGAGGCCTTTCAGACTCATTTCTTTCAGTTGTCTGTTTACCCGAAAGAAGAGCAAAATCTTCTCACCAGCCCATCCTTAGCAACACTGCAGATAACACAGTGGGTAAGGAAAGCCTGGCTGTGAAGACTCAGAATCAGCGTGGGGAACAGCATCTAATGCGTACAAACATTGTACTCACTAGATCTTTAAGCCCCAGTTTAATCACTGTAAGTTTCTGTCCCAAGCTTGTTAATCTGTGTGGCTGCAGCCCAGGCAACATTCAGCTGCAGATGTGAGAGAAAACTGTGTTATCGCAGAAAAGCATACAACTCTGATGATGTGCTGTATGACTCCTGCTGTTTGTGACTGTGTTCAATACCTTATAACGGTCAATTCTTCAATATTCACCCAGGACTCTGAACAGTGGGACAGCCTCTATAACGCTCTTGGTTCCAGGTGTTACACAATTGCAGGAAGTGCCTCCAAAAGCATCTCTAGACTTCTGCAGGAAGGAAATATCAGCACCCCCAAGTCCAGCGGGCTGGTCATAAAACACACAAACCAAACCACAATGTGTGACTTGGTGGAAATAACCAACCTCATTGACAGTGAGTAAAAGTAGAGCTCGGAAAGACTCAAAATGAACTTGGTTATACAAGAAGCCCAATATGCAGGACGGTGGGTAATAAAAAGCATGGAAGAAACGTTGGAAGAAAAAAAAGTCCCACCACCTATGAGAGAGCTGGTGCCGGAAAATAAAACGCAGCTTACTCACTCTGCGTTGTTCCCTATCAGCTGCAGTCTGGGGGTCATCCCCATTAGTGAGGGCCACCACAGAGGTGTGGCCAAGGCCACCGCCCTACCAGCTGCACATGGCAGGATAGTCATCCCACTCGCCCACACCGGGTCTTTTTTTACTTCCTCAAAAGTTTCAGACTCTTTACCACCTTGAGGTCTTTCCACATGCTCTTCCTTCAGCCTAGAATGCTTTGCCCTGTACTGTTACTTGGCTGACTCCTGATCCTTCAGGTCTTCTTCCCTTAAATGACACCTCTCCAGATATATAGGGTGGGGCAAAAGTAGGTTTACAGTTGTGATTATGCAAAACAGAGCTTATTCTTGTATCATTATTTATTAATTACTGTATTGTTTTCCATACGAACAACTGTAAGCCTACTTTTGGCCCACCCTGTATATGCCTTCCCTGACTTCTTCCACCCCTAACTGGTTGCTCTGAACCTTTCTCACAGCAGCTTATATTTTCTCTTTGTAGTACTGACCACAATTATTTGTACAATTATTTCATGCCTGGTATCTCCCACTAGACTGTAACCCCCATGAGTTCACGGCAGTCTTGGCCACTTATGCACAGTGCCTGAAACAAATATCAGAAACTAGGCAGAAGGCTAGTCTCAGACCTGGAGCTGGACTTAGCCTGGGACTGGCAGCCAGGGGCCTGGGCTGGTACCAGAGGGTGGAATGAAATGCTCCTAGTCCCCTGGCCTGCAGGCTGGCCCAGTCCAGGGCCCATCACCCAGCAGTCATTCTGTTACTTCAGATCGCTGCTGTGGCTCCCGCCTCTAAAACACAAACACTGTCACTGTAGGAAGAACTTGGGCTCACACTCCTTGCAGACTTTGGTAAATTTCAAGGGGTTTTGAGATTCTCAAATGATTAAATACTGTCAGTGCTGCTCTTCTAATAAGTAAACATTCAGAATGGCAGGCTCCTTTGGGTAAAATTCTACACAATGAGTTGTGAAACCCATTACTTAGGCACATCAACTCCCCATGTGATAACCTTGCACTTACCGTGCACTGACTCAAAGGTGCATTTTTCTACATTGAACACAAACGAAACTGAATCATGGCTTACAGCTGTGGTCACAGAAATGCATCAATGTAACCTGAGCATTTACCCCTTTAGTGGTAATAATGGTGAATCTTACAATTTATAGTATTTTAAATTTGACAAAATGTAGCATTCACTTAGTATTTAGCATCTAAGCTACTGGAAAGGGGTGAACAGATAAAACCAGGGGAATAAAAAATGCAAGTATTTGGGTTAGAATTCTTAGGTGCTCAAGTAATTTTGTCATCACAGGAAAGTTTTAAACCTCTGGAAATTGTTAAATGTTGATCTCAGAGCCTCATGCATATGCTAACTGTTTCTGTACCGTGGAAAACTGAAAGGAACTTCTCTGCCTACAGGTAAGAGGCGCGTTGCTGTCTTCGGAAGCACAGAAGGGGAGTCATCGGATGACAGCCTTGTCGATCTGGTGAGTGCTGAAGGCCGGTCAGTTGCAGAATTGCCAAAACACTGCTTTTAGCACGAACTGGTATTTCAGAGAAATGCGGGCTTTGGCGGAGGCAGTCCTGTGACCTTTATGAAATAGACTTGCTCCCTCCCAGACAGCTCCCTTTGGTGAAGAGCTAATCGTGGACCTTTTACAGAGGAGGAAAATGGAAGCCCTGGGAAAGATGATGAACACACTGCAGTGCCTGGGGGTGCGCCTGGCCTCACCTCCTACAACGAAGGAGAAAGGCCAGATGTGCTTTGGTGAAGCCGGCACGCCCGCATGCCCAGTGAAGTGTCGGTGCAATCACACTCTCTTTACTGCCTGACACCCTCACTTTACAGCCTCCTTATCAAGATAAAAAACGAGGTCAGAAGACAAACCCCGGAACAGCACACAGGGACAGTGTCCTTTTAGCAAGATGTCTCCTCCATTTAAAAGAAGCTGTTTCCCCCCTTAAGGCCGTCGGACTGGGCGTCCGGTTTATCAAGTTCGGAGGTCTTTCTCGCGGCGAACGGGTGACGAAGTACAACCGTGTGTTCACTGTAGAGGAAGAACTTGTCCAGAGCGGAACACTGGGTACGTGCTGCTTCCTTGCTTTGTTTTCACGTAGCCGTGAACCAGAGAACAAAGGTGGGCAGAGGGGGAATAGAGGTCCAGCAGCAGGAGGCCAGGGGACTCCAAAGCCCATAAATAAGTGCCCACAAACGAGGATGGCATTTGCCACAATGGGAATTGTTTTCTTAATGGATTATCTATTAACCTGAATGTTTAAAACCCTCGCTGCTCTTCTTGATAAACAGGATGCGTGATGCTTTTCAACAGAATTAATTGATTGGAATCTCCAAGCCTACCTTTTGTTATGGTCCAAATTATTGCTGAGGTTTCTCCGCAGAGCCCATGAAAGTTAAAGGCAGATTTTTCCTGATGGCTCCTGGGAGCCACTCATTTTACTTAAGACAAGTAGTCAGTGTGTTAATTTTAACGTTGTACTTTGGGAAGGCTGTGGTCTCAAGAGAAATGAACCAATCACTTATGACGTCAAACCTTTGTAAATCTGCATGGGTCGAATCACCCCGTGTACTGGCTAGCTGGAGAGAAACACCCCAGATAGGCGATTTTACTTTTTACATTACTGATGGTGAAGGCCAAAAGTACATCTGTAGCACAGAGACATTCAAAGAAACCAATAGTTATTGCCTTTGTAATTCTAAAGCTATTTTGTACTTTAAGATAGAATAAATGAATTGATACACTGAAAAACAGTATTCTTATTTGAATAGTGCTGACAATTAAAACGTGAAATTTTCTTGGATGCTATAAATGAAATCTAAAGGAGACAGATGTATTATAGAATGTCCTGGGGAGCACACCAGTGAAAGCAAGCACACGGTCCTACTGTATGACTCAATATGTGCATTAAAGAGGAAAAAAATAAACCGATAGAAATTGTGATTAGAAATTTGTCATGCTTAACATATGTCATGATCTTGAAACACACCCTAAGATTCATGGACAATAAAGATGTAATTGGGAGACCAGTTCTGAGTCGCATCAGGGGAGTCAAGCTACTTTGTGTGGTTTAGTGTGTGACACAAGGCTTGTTTCTTACCAGGTGACATCATATTCTTCCTCCCTGGTGCCTGACTGCTTTTATGTCCTACTGATGTAGGTTCCTTAAATGACCTCTCACATTTCCAGCCAGACCCACCACAAGGGAAACAGCTATTCAGGACTCTAGTGACTGGGGACCAGTCCCTCCCTGGTGACAGCGCAGGCCCCGAGCATTCTGGAATGGATTAACAGATTGAGAAATTTCTCTGGCATTGGCAGTGGTCAGTAAATGTTAAGGGGACCAAAAACTGGAAAACAAATCTCTCCACCGAGAGACTGAGCAGGAAATCTCGGCGAAAGCTCAGCTAATAAAACTGTTGCTGCCCACATGGACCTGACAGAATAGCCTAAGTCTGCACTCAGTTACCCTGGGTGTTAGTTGGCCATGGTGTGCACTCAGGTACAGTACTGGCCTTCGCTCTAATTTCTCTTCTTCCTCGTAGCCTTTTCTGCTGAGCCACTGCCCAGAGTCCACTGCACATCAAATGTTCCAGGAGGCTGGCTGAGGGTACAGTGCAGACTGAGAAAAGCAAGTGTACTGCACAGTCAATGTATAACCCAAACAGGCCCGATTTTAAATGGCTCCAGAATCCTTTCTGATGGTGACATGACACCTCTGGACACTTCTGAGGACGATCTCCTTTGAATCAAATAACATCAGAAATCGGCACCACTGGGTTAGACAGTAAACATTATTGTTGTTGTTTTTAACAGGTCTCAACGAAGAACTCACCTTTTCTAACCTGAATGAGGAAGACGAGGCCGCGGCGGCCCTGGCTGGGGAGCTGCCCGAGCCCCCGGAGCCCATCTTCCCCACAGAAGTTGTGGAGGCATCAGCCTAAGCGTGAGCATCTTCTGGACGGGCCGACACACCCCGCCTTACGGCCACGTCCGTGTTAGGAGCCTGGGGGCCTGGTGTGTCTCCGATGCTGGCTTCGCTCTAACGCGTCACTACCCGTGTGCTCCTGTCCTTCCTTTCATGTCTCCTGTTACCATTTGGGGAAACGCACACAGTGTTCCGCCTGAAATCGTGCCTGTGAGCTCGTGTTAAGCCGCCACATTTCCGCGGAGATGCTGTGCACCCCTCTCCCGTCCGCTGGGGCGGGGCGATGGCCTGGGGAGAGAGTCCGGTACTTTTGTTGCGACACTCAGTTCCAGCACCTCACAGTTTACACAGGAAACCATCTCTGAAAACAAAAACCTCTCCCACGGAGCGCTCAGTGCCGGAACAGGCGCGTCCGTGCGTACCCAGGAAGCACAGCAGTTCCGTGCCAGCCTCGCGGAAGCACGAGCTTCGCGGCTCCGTCGCGGCCACGCAGCGTCCTCGTACTTTCCTACCCTCACGCCCCCTTCCCGGGTCCCCTTCTGTCTGCGTGTTCGTTCTCCTTCTATTATTTATACCCTTGGAGTCCCCTTCTACCCCCTGTGGAACAAGAACTCGTGTACGTGAGTAAACACGCTTGGATGGGTAACTGTTCTCGAGGAACTAATGCGCAGCTGTTTATATTACAGAACGTGGCAGGTGACTGAACCGCCTCCCGTAAGCCAGCCTCGGGGCTGCAGCAGAGGAGGGACAGAGGTGGCCTCACCCAGTCACACACCGACAGACCCAGTAACGCCACCCACTTTGTGCCGTTTAGATTCTCTGTTAAAAGTTATCACTTGCTTTACCCCAAAATTATATAAATTGCTGTAAACTGACCTGTGGGAGAGTTGGCTAAATTAAGATTTCTGGTATATTCTATATGCTTTTACTAAACACACTGAGGACCTCTCCTCTTGAAGAGCCTTAACAGGGAAATGTAATGCTGTGACGGCAGAGCCCAGGCCCTCCCCCGAAGCCATGACTCAGTCGGCTCGGGGGCAGACCCTCCCGGAGCTCGGGGCAGAACCGGTCGGTCACTCCAAGCTGGGGGAACAGCCTCCAGTCTGTGGCTGCTACCACCTCTCCTGCTGCTTCCCACGAGCAGCGGGGGATGAGGAACGGGAAGGAAAGTTCATTTTAAAGGCAGGAGGAACAGACTGGTGTTCACATGTACATGTGTGTGCACATGTAGGCACACACACAAAACACGGGAGACCATACGAGAGTATGCCCTGGAGCTGTGATACAAACAGCACAGCCGACTCACCTTTACGTCGCCTGAGGGCCGGGCCACCAATGGGTAGGCAGCATTTTAATTTAAAATTTTAAAGTGATAAGCACTGTGTCTATTTTCTCTCTCTGTCTACATTTGTTCTGTAATATACAGTAGATATAAAACATATCCATCACATGCAAGATATTATCTGTAAAAGAGATGAAAGCAACTAGTCACTTCCCATTTGAAGAGAGGACGGTGGGCCTGGAAAACGTCAGTGCTCAGAAGAAACCTCCATCCCATCCTTAGGTACGCTCCGCCTGGTGATCCTTCCAGGTCAGTGACGACGGGCGGCCACCACCCTCAACTTATTTCCACAGAAGCTGCAGTTGTTCCACGATGAAAGCGATTAAACACGCACAGTGCGCATTCAGGAAAACCATCCACACCTTGTTTTATAAGATTCTGTGATATGGGTTATCATTTACCTGACAACCCAAGCATGGTCCCAAAGGATAACTAACAACGATTTTCACCTGTGCTAACCCATTTCCAAGTCTGCCCACAAAGGGAAGGAAGGAGGAATTGCTGGTGAGCAGCCAGGGCCCAGACTCCGTGCTTTCTACCCACACACAGAGCGGGTGGTCAGAGCCCTGTGACCCCTGCCCATCAGAATTCCCACAGTCCGATCAGCTGCCGAGGCTGCTGTGGGGAGGGTGTGGACTCGCTCAGGCACAGACGTGCTCGAGTTGCCCCGGCCGCTGTGGCTCTGTTGGTTGAGCCTCGCCCAGTGCACCAGAAAGTTGCTGGTTCAATTCCCAGTCCGGGCATGTGCCCAGGTTGCGGGTTTGATCCTGGTTGTCTCTCTCTCTCTCTCTCTCTCAAATCAGTAAATACATTTTTTAAAAAGTGCTAGAATTTTAATTAAATTCTTATTCATTCCAAAGAAGGGAGACATTTTCTTTAATGGCAAGAACACAGATATCCCTTTGCCTCACTAGGCTATAAAACTGCATCAACATGAGTTACAAAACCCTGTAGCAGATGAGACCTAATTCGTATTTCTAAAACAGAAGGAAGAATAATGTTTTAGAGAAAGCAAAAATATAAAGGTGGCAGTCCCTTCCAATTTTAAAACAGTGTAAGTAGGGTATCTACAATTTTTTTTATGCAAAGAGCTAAGGACGTACCTTGAAGACACAAGCGTAGTCTTCCCAGGTGTCCCCACCCCAGCCTGACTGCTTGTTGACTATGGCACCCCAGCTGGGGCAAAACTTCCTAAAAGCTGATGCGAAAAGGGAGAAATTGTAGGCAGGAAAGGATAAGAAAAATCCTACATAAAATACTCTATCAAATTAATTTTAAATGATCGTGACCATGGAGAAGGAAAGCAAGCAGCTCAGCAAAGGCAGGAACGCGCAGCACACCAGTTACTCCCGCT